CAAACATCCCTCTCTTCCTGTGTTAGAACAAGAGGAGAATTACAGGGTTAAATGATTAAAACAAACCTCAACCACAGTCTTTGTTCTCACAGGTTTACCAGCCAAAATCCAAGCACACATCTCCAATTGAGATACTGCTCTGTTAGCTAACAGTCAGGAGCAGCCACAGTCAGCTGGCAGATGAAGAGCTGCAGGCAAAAGGCTGCACACCTCTAACTACTTAGTGATGTAACCAACTCCTTTCCCCTCATTTATGTTGTCAGGTTCCCTGTTAGCATTGGGTTTAAAACCAAAATATTGCCAAATAATTGCTTTTGCTTTTAGCTTTGACACAAAATCATCCGCCATGTGAAATTTGACTCCAGCAACTCTGTGCTGCAACTCTGCTGCTGCTGTACGCTTTCAGTTTATAATAGCATCCACCCTCCAACTAATTACTGATAAAAAAAAATAAAATAGAATTACCACCTTGCAGTTGCATTGCATGCCTCTACCAGCAAGACAAGTTGCAGTTTATATCCATGTCAGTCCAGACTCATTTAAGTATTGTAGACTTTATATAAATTTAAAGGTGTTAAGCATATTTCCACTCAAAATGTGGATGTTTGGATACCTTTTTAACCCGTCAGCACAGAAGATCTATACAGTCACCAATTCAGTAACTGACCAAGTGTCTTCTCTTCTGTTCCTGAGATATGATGTTGAATAATGGCCAGAAAAGTGTTTTATGTAGAAGATTATGATGTCACAGTAAAACTGACCTTTGACCTTTTGTCATCATTTTATCCTATTAGACGTTTGTGTGCAATTTTGTCATAATTAACATATGAATTCTTAAGTTAAAGGTCAGAACGTGTTTTATGAATTCACAGCGACCATTGACCACCAAAATCTTATCAGTTCACTGTTGAGTCTAAGTGGATGTTTGTGCCAAATTTGATGAATTTCCTTCAAAGTGTTCTTGAGATATTAAGTTCATGAAAGTAAACTGCAGCTGTTGACGGCGCCGAGGCATAAAAAGCAAAATGAAGGTGGGGGCAGTGGGAAAATAATGTAATCTGTGTACGCCAGAACAACATGTATCACCAATAAGGGCTCATTTATGCTAGACATTATCTACAGAGACAGACAGAGCCTTCTGTCTGTACTGTGTGTTCATTTTGTTCGTATTTGTGCATGTTTTCTGAAAGCTTGTGGATACGGATGACACACAGCAGTACCACCAGAAATGGTGGAGGCAGTGTAGCGTAGTTCAAGCAAGATACTTCCAGAGGAGGTGACCAGAGGAGCAAATCATTATATGTAATAATATATAGTAATACATTGTGAAAATAGTAAAATTCTCTGTCCACATGTCAGGATGTATTTAATGGCCTCACAGACCACCGCTATCTGTAACGCTGCCCCCGTTAAAAGGTACGCCCTCTAGTGCCGTCTGTTGGCTGGAGCTATGCCAACATATAGAACACATGGGAGTATGAGGGGAGTGACATTTACAACATTTGAAACTGACATATCTATTTTCGTATGAAGTATAAATGAGCCTTAACACCAACTACCACAGCAAGCCTTTTTATTATCAAGAATTATTATACTTACTATAATAAGAAATGGTACCTACTCATTATTTTGAGATACTACGTCAATATTTTTGAGATACAGACTTGTGATTTTAATAAAGTGCCTCATTATAATGACTTACAGGACCTACTTTTTTTTCATTACACTTGCAGAAATGGGCTTCCATACATCCAAAGTTGTTAATGATTGGAAAAATTTCGTTATCTGCCAACCTCAAGATATTAAACTATTTCTGTTTTACAGGAAAAGTAAAGAGAGGCATTTTGATATCAAATTCTCAAAATCGTTATTCTTTTTTTAAGATATTTTTTGGGTGTTTTAGCCTTTAATTGATAGGACAGCTTAAGCGTGAAGGGGGAGAGAGAGAGGGAGGGACATGCAGCAAAGGGCCACAGGCTGGAGTCGAACCCGGGCCGCTGCGGCAACAGCCTTGTACATGGGGCGCCTGCTCTATCCACCAAGCCACCAACGCCCCAAAATCGCTATTCTTTTTTTTACACAAATTTAGTATGTAACAAGAGATAAATGAAAAATTGATGCACGGACGCAGGATTAGAACTTGTATTTTTCATTTCACCATGTCTGTTTAATCAGGCAGGCTGCACAACCTTCTACATTTGTTGTTTTGGTAGAAGACGATGTTTTGAAACATTTAATCTGCATCAGGATCCTGACTGGCCTCAATTTACACTGAAATAATCACAGGATAAATGTGCTGCAGCGTGTCGCTCACAGGAACATGTTTAAAAATCTCACAATATTAAGGAATCTTTAATCTATTAATTTGTTGAAATCTGACAGAAACTGCTGGTTTAGAGTGACGTGGAACATCAGAATCACCCGACGAAGTGCTTTAGGAATCCTAAACTTGGCTGTTTAAATGATAGATGAAGCAACTTAACAGCACCCTTGTTCCATATCTGCCACAACCAACCAACACAGACACTATCTTGCTTTCAAAGAACATGCAACGCTGCTCACTTCCTTTAACACCTCCAGTGTCATCTCAGGGTGAAGGTGCAACCAGATATTTTACAGTACGCTTTGTGTCTTTGTTTGGTGCATCCTTCGCCGCATTAAAGTCTCTTTCATTGGGCAGAAACTCTCTCAAGGTTGTAAACATGCCATTGTACATGTAGCAAACAGAATCATAAGGTCATGGATGCCGCAGAAGATGAGGAATCGTCTGCAATTTTCCAACTATCCTTCTGTCCTACCTCCCTCCAATCATTCCTCCTTCCAATACTGCTTCCTTATCTTTTTCTGATCTATATGTCCTGTCCTTTTTTGCTTTCCTTCAAACTGTCCTCATGTCCTTCCTTCCGTCCTGCTGTCCTATCTTGCCATCAACCTGCTCAGCCATCTCCCTTTTCTCAAACTGCACCTGCAGTCCTTTCTCTCTCGGGTCCTTATTTACCACCTCACAACTCTCCCTTCCCACCCACCATCAAAACACATAATCACTTTATTTCCAAACTGAGAAGTTCTTGTTGATAGTCGTCACCGGAGGAAGGGTCGCAGGTCGTGACACAAGCTACAGGGCTGTTGTCCGGAGTCAAGGACACTTCAGTGAGGTGGGGGTGGAGGGCCACATGATGCAGCCACTGGGGCTCATTTTCTATAATTTTCTTCAAGTCAGTCTTTAAATATATTTATCAAAACTTCACATTGAACACACGTCATCTGCCTTTTCATTTGTGCAAAAATGTTGATGCACAAGTTCAATTCTTTACCGTGATGGCACAAATATAAGATGACCTTGTTATAAGAGAAGCTCCACTTTTTCAAATAAACACAGCATTTATTTTGAGGAATTACATGAAAGGAAAGAGAAACAATTAGAAGGTAAAAAAATGTTTGTTCCTGTTTTCCATCATATCACTACTTGGTATTTTATTTCACAAGCTTTCATCGTGTGCAGGTTGTTTGTATATTATATAACTGACAGAAAACTGATCAGAGGTAATGTGAGCCTCAGTGTGTGAAGGATTCATCCAGAAGGTGGAGGGTCATCAGGAAACTCCAGCAAACGCAGCTGCAGCTCTGACTGATATTCTGTTGTTGTTTTTTGGGGGGGCATTTATGCTCTCTTTTCTTGTCTCGACACCGTCACAAACAACACAAATTAAATCAAACCATTTGCATCCTGAATAAATCAACAAGAATTTAAATATTTCTACACCGACAGTCCCTGGAACTGACTAAACATGACGACCAGAGGATGTATTGGATGCAGAAAATCCAAGTCGAGCAATTCAACCAACAAAATGCGTCATCAGAACAAAAGTATATGATATGGATTTCATCCTCAACTGTATTTTCAAAGACTTTTTCCCAAAAAATTACACTGTGAAACACACTTTAAGTTACATATAAATATTACAGGAAAGGAGTATTATAGAGTTATCAAAGGAGATTAAATGCATCAGAAACCCATACAAACACTAATATACAAATATTATAGTTATACAATAAGACATGAAGCAAAGAAGGTCATGATACTAAGAGGTTTCTTAAATATTTGTATTAAAATCATGAATATTATAGGAATGTTTTGGCTTAATAAAGATACAATACCTTTAAGTCCTATAAGTTATAATAAAATAATCATCACATATATTTTCTAAGAAGCCAGATTAATATTAATGCAATGTCATACTGTAATATGGAATAAAATATCATAAAAGTAGCCTACTAAAGGGTTTCTCTTGAGGATGCACTTTAAGGAGAAATATTATAAGAATATTACAGTTAAACGAAAGAAATAAACATATAGGCCAAGCGGCAGCAACCACAGCCCCAAATGTATCTCTTCTTACATAAACAGAGCCGGTTAATTAATGGAAACTGATAGCACGGCTCGGCTCGGCTCGACAGGGCTGATAACGAGCCGGGTTGCATGGGAACAGAGGAAACTCAGTCTCTGGAGGGCGAAAGTGGCTGAAAACAGGGACGGAGAGGAAAGAGGAACGCACTTTAAAGTGCGTGTTTTCAGGAGCAAACCGAGTCTGCGTCACCCCAAAAATCACACAGTGTGCACACCAGGCGGCAACATAACGAGTTAAGTGAGGTGATTGTTTAGTTTTATGAGCAAATCAGCTCCTGACATGATACTTTTGGTTAAAGGATGCACTTAAGTCTCTGTGCAGAAATAGCCTATGAGTTTGAAATGTAGTTTTGTCACAAATTACCTGACAATATGATTACATCTGGTGCCAAACTGATAAGAGTAATGTTATGTTTGTCTTGGTGAAGGAAATTAATTATGAAATAAATATTTCTTGTTGACAGAAGTGGTTTTAACTCAGTGTCGCAGGTGTTTTGCCTCGTCGGGACCAACTGGCTCTAAAAGGTCAGAGTTCACCACACAAGAACATCCCAACCTTTAAGCACTAAAACAAAGAAACGCATGTACTCACATGTGAAACTCCTGCGTTAAAAACTGCGGGTTTGTTTGGATGTGGCTTTCACACCATCACCGCTCCGCCGCGCCCCGCTCACAGCTGCCAAATCCCATCCGGAGCCGAGGCGCAAAGTGGCCGATCCATGAGCACAAAAACTCCGCGCAGCGCCACAGAGGAAAAGTGTTTGGAATAAAAAAAATCTCTTGGAGGAAAAAGAAGAAGATGTTTGTTTTTTTTTTACATCCAAGCAGTGAAATAATGATGACAGGATAAATGAGGAGCGACAGGAGCTCAGAAGTGTCCCTCCAGCAGCGGCGGGGGGGGGAGCGGACTGTAGCGCTTCAGTTCAGCCGGGGAGGGGAAAGTGCGCACCGGGCTGCTTCACTCCGTCTGCTCCGCTTCCTCCGGCATCTTCTCAACTTCAGCCGCTTTAATCCTCCGGGAGCGGCTCCAGTTTGCTTTTATTCCCCCTTGATCCCGAGAAACACACTCCACCTCGGGAAAACAGATTTTTAATTTCTTCCCATCCTTTTCAGGTGTGATCATTAACAAGAAGAACCTCCAAAATAAAAGTCCTCCTCGCGCCTCCAGCTGTTGCTTTAATTTGATTTTTCTTTTGGAGAAATTCACTGAAGGTGAAAAAGTGGCAAGTTTTGCCGTCAGAGCGGAGTGTTTGGCTGCGTTTCGGCGCGTCGGTAGGTCGGTAGGCTGGTAGGGCTGACCGGCCAGACTCCCATCATCCCCGCCGCTTGATCGCCCCCTGGACGCGGACAGAGAGAGAGAGGGAAAGGGAAAGAGAGAGAGAGAGAGAGAGAGAGAGAGAGAGAGAGAGAGAGAGAGAGAGAGAGAGAGAGAGAGCGGGGGAGTATCGCGAGGTTACGCCCTAAGTCCCGTTTGTCTCGCGCTGTCACTTCTCTCTTACAGCTCCTTTCAATGGAGATATGAGAGAGCATGCCAAACTTTATTTGCAAGGTACTTCAATACCAGAGTAACAAAACATTATAAGGCAATACATTAGTATTAAAAACAAAGTCTGGTGATAAAAATAATAAACAGGAGCAGGAAGCATCAATATCATGGCTTTAAGAATAAAAGGGAGACTGTTTCCTCATTAGGGAGGCAGGACAGGAAAGATCTGATCACTACCAAGTGCTCATTTAAGCGTCATCTTGTGGAGGCAGTGATCACAGTATCTCAACTATCCCATATAGAAACAAATCAGAGTGTGAGACACATGCACAGTTTTCGTTTGCAGGTTCAGCCCAGTCAGCCGCAGAAAGTGTTGGTGTTATTCATTTCTGCAAACCACAGACAGGTTACATCTGTATATTTCATACATATCATACCTAAAGTGAGGTAGCATATGAGCTGACTTTTTCATCAGGAGGTGGAGGGGAAGGAGAATGCTGTGACACCTTGGTGAGACGCCTGCCAAGCTGCAGACCACTGTTCAAGACCAACAAACAAAGAAACCATTTGTGATTTAGTGCTGTGTTCCCAGCTGTTTCTTTGGCAAAACAAAAAACAAAAAAAACCTGGGTGTTTTGTAGCAACCTGTCAGCAGGGATGGTGCCACAAAATCGACTGTTTTTTGCCAAGGCTTCGCTGCATGTCCTCCCAGGGTTGTGCCCCCAAAACATGATGCATATACTACTGCCACATAACAATGGCAAATGTGGCATACCTGTGGTTTGCGGAAAACTACAATATCAACATTTTTTCTGCCAACTCGGTTGTGGCGTGACACCCGCTAACCTGCAGACCACTCTTCAAGACCAGCAAAAAACAAAACGGGTTGTTATTCAGTAAGTCAATGCTGTGTTTCCAGCGGCTTTTTCAACTCCTAATGTGGGTATTTTGCAGCAACACAAAAGTGGCACAAAAAGTGGTTGTGTTTTTACTAAGGCATTGCTGCATGTCCTCCCAGGGTTGTGCCCCCAAAACTGGGTATTTTTAGCCAATACACGATCTTATCCTAACCTTAACCAAGTGGTTTTTGTGCCTAAACATGACCACGCGTTAACCACACACATAATATAGTGCAAATGTAACGTATCTGTGGTTTGTAAAAACATACGATGCCAAGATTTTTTTCTGGCTACTGGGTTGTGGTGTCACACCTGGGTGAGACAGGCTGCAGACCACTGCTCAAGACCAACAAATAACAAAACCAGTTGTGTTTACAGGATGTGTTGCCGTTTTGCCAGCTGCTTTTTAGTCACCAAATGTGGGTGTTTTGTAGGGACCCATTGGCAGGGACACCATGATAAGCTGCTGTTTATTACAGAGATATTGCTGATTTTACAGCCGGAATTTTCAGCCAAAACATGCTAATTTCCAAGACCATAACAAAGTGTTTTTGTGCCTTAACCTAACCATACATTAACCACAGTGTTGTTGAAACATAGAGTTCCAACATATCTGCTACATAATAAAGTGAGAATGTAACACATCCATAGTGTAAGAAACGTACAATGTCAAAAACATTTCTGGCAACTGGATTGCTGTGTGAAACCTTGGTGAAACACCTGCCAAGCTGCAGACCACTGTTTGAGACCAACACAAAATAAAACCAGTTGCTTTTTTAGCGACTCGTCATTCTTTTTCTAGCGGGAATAGTGCCACCAAAACAGAGATGCTCCGGTACCATTTATTTCCACCCTGATGCTGATTCCAATACCTGACCTTGCGTATATGCCAATACAAAGTACCAATCTGATACCACTGCCTTTGAAAATTATTTTTTAAAAATGCATCGCTGTACACTACTCTAATCCTATCTATCTCTCATTAATAAAACAGATGAACTACCACCCAGAATGAAGGCTCAAAGTGACTTTGAACACTCCCTTCAGGAAGACGATACAGGATACCCACAGCAACGAGAAACACAAGTGCCACCCGTCAAAACTAAAGCCTTGCATTCTGCGCACATTGCCTTTTTACTGGTGGAACTTTCCAGTGTGACAAATTGCCAAATCGCTGATATTTTGCTACAGCTAACGTTACATTATTTACCAGAAATCAATTCTAAATTGCAATTGGCTGTAATTTGCTGTGCAGGCTACTGTTTTAGAACAACATAGAATGGATTTATAGGGAAACTACTATTTTATCCAGGTGTGAAACTACTTTGAGGTTTATTAATAAATTATGTGGTATCAGATCAGTGCGTAGACTCACCTTGTCATTAATACCCGATCCAGCATTTTACGCAGGCTCAGAGGCATTTCCAATACTGGTATTGGTATCCGGACGACTCCATATTTTAAGCCAAAACATGATCTTTTTTTACCATAACCAAGTGGTTTTTGTGCCTAAACTTCACCATGCATTAACCACAGCATATCTGTTACATAATAACTTACAGATGTACCCATGCTTTGCAGAAACGTACAATGACAACATTTTTTTCTGCTAATTGTGTTGAATCTTTAGGCTACATAATTTCTTAAGTGCTGGCTTGAATTTGATCACTTTGCATCCTGTGTTTACTGGTCACAAACAACCACTGGATGTACAGTATAACGTAATTGGGAACAAGAACATAAACAAAAACACATCAACACTGCATCCCTTCCAAACATGCTTGCAATAATACTGTAGAATCAGTGAGATAAACATCATTTTTCTACAGCTTTTTTCAAGAAATGTATCCGAGATTTGCTCTAAAATATGTCACACAATCATCAGAATGCCACTCAAAGCTAAGTATACTAGTCATCAAGTCAACTTACAAACTTTGGTGCAGATTTTTTAGACAAATAAAATGTGTCTTTATCTGCTGCTTTAACAATAAACTTAAACTTCGTAGAAACAAAAAGTTTCAACAAATCTGCTACATAATAACAGACAAATGTAACACGGTTTGCAGAGACTCACAATGCAAACTTTTTCCTGGTGACTGGTTTGCAAAGCAGAGTCATCAGTACAGACACAAAGAGGCTATTTGGGCACAAAACAGTGGACTTTTCTGATGGTATAAAATAGAAATATAAGAGAATATGCAGGTTCACAGAAAAAATGAATAATAAACAACAGATTCCTGCTGCTGCAATACGGGAATGACACTTTTACAAATAACTAAAATGTTATAGGAATAAAATCTATCATTTATTAGTTAGAGGCTGCAGAGACAGTGATTGTGTTCTCTTTCAGGCTTAGGCTGATATTATAGGATTTAGTATAATAATAATAATAACAACAACTGTGACTGTGCAGCTGTATGGGACAAATATTTGGACCTAATTTTTCCCGAGCTTCAAATTATGGAACAGAAAATGAGAAACAACAAAGAAAAGAAAAGCAAAATATTTTGGCCAATTAAGACAAAGCAAAGTTGCAAAAAAAATTGTATGATTCATTCATGAGTCAGAATAAAGACGTGTAATTATTTTATTTGCAAGAGACGAGGCTTTATGAATGGTCCACCAACACTTTGGTCCAGACTGAACTGAACAAGATAAGATGGAACTTTATTTATCCAGAGAGAAACTGTTGTGCAGCAGTTGCAATACCAAGCAGTTAAGAGATTAAATATGAAGAGTCCAAATAAAATAAAATCTGAACAATAAAAATGTTCAGTACAGTCAAAAAAGGGAGAAAGGAAAGAAAGGGGCTAGGACGAGTTAAAAGGAAAGGATACAAGGGGAGAAAAGAGTGAAGGAGATGACTCACCTGAGAGTGGCATCCCCATCAGGCTGACTGTCTGTCTGTGGAGTCATACTGCCTCCTGCTGGAGAAGAGAAGAACTGCAGGAGAAAATAAATTATGAGAGAAAGTCAAACTGACGGAGTGTAACGACTAACTACTGCTCCACACCTGCTCCACACACACTCACAGGGAGCAGTAAATGCCAGTCAGGCCGTCCCTTCATTCTTCCACCTGACGGCTGGTGGCCCTCCAAGTGCTCTTTGTTTTGTCCATCTGAACCTGTACCTTATCACTGTGTGGTCTACACATCAGTGTCGGTTTGCAACATATTACATTTCTTATGCAAGTATGAAGGTGACAATGTTTTTAAAGAACTGGTCTGAATCCAACTGACTCAAGTATGGGGAATTATGCTCATTTTCAAAATGTATACATGTTTTATTATCATTATTCCTATGGTCTAAGGCAGTCCAAAAAATATGAGTAAAAATGAACTCTCTCTCCAGTTCAAATCTACAGTGCTAAAACTCAAATCTGTGATGTCACAGATGATAAAGTCTGGAGCTGCTCTTGCAGCATAGATAATACTCAAAGAACCCAGGGGGATGTTCTGAGTATGTTAGAGTTGCTCTGATACCAGTATCAGAAATGCCTCTGATACTGCCTAAAACGCTGGAGGGGGTTTAGGTGAGTATGGGACTCTACACACTGTATCGATACCACTTTATTAGTCATTCATTCGTTCCTTCATTATTCGTAACCACTTATCCTGGTCGCAGGGGGGAAGGCTGGAGCCTATCCCAGCTGACATTGCGATGTGTTTCAGCTGTCCACTTGTGTTCAGATCACGGAAACTCATGTTAACACCAGGTCTAAACAGGCTCATAGAGTCACCAAGTAACCTGCATGTCTTTGGATTGTTGGAGGGAGCTGGGGAACCTGGAAAAAACCCACGCTGACATTAGGGAGAACATACAAACTTCACACAAAGGGGCCCCGGCCAGCCGGAGGGTTCGAACCCAGAGCCCTCTTGCTGCAAGGTTGTGCTAACCACTGAACCACTGTCCCATCCCACTTACTTTAAAAATGAATTTTAAAGTAGTTTCACAGCCGGATATCAGTTCTTCTTCACCGCTCTGAAACAGCAGCCTGCACAGCATGCTGCACTGTGCAGCCACAGGTAACTACTGTTAAAGAGCAGTGAAGAAGAACTCCTTCCAGTAAACAGTGTAACATTAGGCATCAACAAAAGGTCAGTAATTTTGCAGTAATTTACAGTGGAAAGTCCCTCCAGTAAATGCACAACATGCACAGTATGCAAGTCTTTAGTTTCCAGGTGTGGCACCAGTGTTGCTAATTACTTATAAATCTTTTTGAGGACACATCACAGATGTATTTGTTCATGTTTGACAAAGGGCTTATCCTGAGTCATGCACTAAAACAATGAGGGTTAGTAGTGTACAGCTGTTAAATTTATTTTAACACAATGGTATCAGCTCGGTAGTTGGTTTTTGGCCAATAAGCAAGGTCAAGTAGGCCTATTGGAATTATTATCGAGAAGGACAAAATAGTAAACATCTCTGTCATCAAGCATAAAGGCTGGAGCTGCTCCATAGACAATGACTGGTGAGAGATGTTCTAGATGACACTGAGAGCAGCCAGGAAAATGTTTCAGAACTGAGAACACTACAAGACCATAAAACTCATTTGGGTATAAAAAATCTGTGTGTGGAGCTTACAGTGTGGGAAACATAGCCTTAGAGAGAGTAATAGAAACTCCACAGACTCTTGAGTGTGAGTTTCATAAAACAAAAACTATCACATTAACAATCAATGATTGAAGAGAAAGGTAAATTGTGTTTTAGTCCCAAATCAGTCTGCTGAGGTAATATACTATTAACTTAAAACTTAGAACTAGAATAAATATAAACCAGAGACCCCTTCACTGTGTTTATTTATTTATCATTATTATTTTTATTTCAATGTCAAACTTACCTGCTGTCACTGTCTGGTTACTCCTACAAATTGTCATGAAGGCTCATGTTGATAAAAGATACCACTAACAAGTTGAACATGAACTTTTACCACAGGACAGCATGTTAATACTCTACACATTGAATACAGCAGGCCTGTCTGCAGCCGAGGGATAGAAACATTCAGCTGCCAACAACAAAAAATTAACATCACTTGAACTTAAGATAACTTTTGCACACGTCACTTACAGGTTTGAAGAAGCTGGATCACTTTTGGCAGGAAGTATGGCTTGTTGATTGGAGGCTGTGCTCCAGTTGGTGTCTGCTCAGGTGTGATTGGAGCTTACAGGGGCATTGCCGCCACCTGCTGGACTGGAGAGTGGAGCAATCGAGAGGCAGAGACAAGGAATAAAATGTCTCTGCTTCTTGAAGAAGTGGTGGAACCTTAACTTCAATAAAATGATCAATAACTCAGTGAAGAAATACTTTGTTATAAGCAAAAGTCCTGCATTCAAATTCTGCATTTTAGTTACCTATTAAAAATGTAATAGGTAATGTAACTATTTCAATTACTTCATCAAAGTAATGTAACTTACTACATTTGATTACTTTTAGATTTGTTTTCTAACAGATGTTTTAAATCGGACAATAAAGCTGAAAAACATCTGGAGGTTAGGCCAACAGAAGATGTTCCCGTACAGCCAAAAGATGTGAAGCAGCAGAATGAATGTTTTATTCTCCATATAATCTTTTAGCTGAAAAGAATATATTCACATGTAACACCTTCGTAATCACCAACATTCTGAGTCATCACAGTAACTGAATTACATAACTTTTCTCATCAACTGAAACTGATTACAATTACATTTATTTTGTGATTTAATCACATGTAACTAGTTTAAGAAAAGTACATATACTATTAACATAAAAATATACTTGAAGTAACAAACCAAAAAGTACTTGTTGTGCAAGAGGGCCCATTTCAGAATAATGCATAAAGTATTATATTATTGAATTATAGTTACTGATGCATTAATATGTTCATCTCTTTAAAGTTGCAGCTGGTAAATGTCTTATCATATCTTAATATATGATAATATTTCATTAGTTGATTTATTTTGTAAATATAAAAAATGTCACAAATACAAATGTTGTAAAAAGTAAAAAAAAAAATATTTCCCTCTGAGATGTAGTGGAGTAAAACTATAAAGAAGGTATAAGTCAGAAACATGAAGTTGCAATTTTAATCCATGAGAAGCTAAACTTCGTATTTTTGAACCAACATAATGATGAGGACGGGAGATTCAAGGTAGGATCTGTGCAATATATACACCCCAAACAGAAGATCCCAATTTATTTTACAAAGTAAATAAACTTGTAGGTGATATTGGTGATGGACAAATAGTACTAGGGGGAAATTTTAATCAGGTCTAAGACGGTATACTAGATAGAGCAACTTAGAACAGAAGAATTCCAAAGGATCAACAAGCAATACACCAGCTCGTGGAGGATCTCGGCCTGGTGGACATATGGAGGCTGATTAATCCAGAACAGAAACAAAAAACAGGATAAAGTAAAAGTGATAATGTTTGAATCCCAACTCAGAAGACAAGACAAGAGCTGACACCTTGAGTGACACAGAAGGAGAATTTGTAAATCAAAACTGGATATAAATGATATTTCTGCTAAAAAGGCTCAATATGTGCAAAGACAAATTTCTTTGAGAATGGGGATAAAACTGGTAGATTATTGGCCAGGCAGGGAGAAGGATGTATTAAGGCACATGAGATTAATGAGACTTAAAAAACGTTTTATTTATTTTATTTATTTATTTTTTTTTCAAATCTCTACACTTCAAATATGGTGATTAACACAAACAAAACAAAAGCATTTGTGAGACTGAATTCCCAGAGCTTTCTTTGGACCAGGCAGAGGAGACTGATGAACCGATCAGTGAATCAGAGGTGAGGGCTGCCTCATACTGCAGATATTGATGTTGGGTATTTCTTTAGTCTGTGTTGTTTGTGTTTATGTATTTGTTCGTTTTGTATTTGTTTATTTGTGTTGATGTTCTTACAATTAAAAACCTTTGATAAAAAACTTAAATAACAAAAACCCCTATAAAGTAGCAGAAAATGGAAATATTCTAGTACAGATAACTGAGTACTTGACTAACTGTACAGAGTTATTTAGTAATATATAAAGCATGTTATTTTATTTGGATCATAAAAATATAATTAATCAATAACCTGAATTTAAACTTATAATGTGGTAACTGATTATTCTAACACTTTGAGGCATAAAATGTTGATTTCACTGATGTGATTATATATTTTACACTTTATGTGATTCATCTTTTCATATGATGGCAATAAAAAACAAAACCTCCACAACTAGTTAATTATCTAATACCAACAGGCACATTTTGGTGCTAACAGCCAGTAAAAACCCTCTCAGCTCTGCTTTGCGATGAAACACTCAGTTTTACCTGTAAACAAAGGGCCCATGATTCAGTTCAGATTTTTAAAAACTTTATTGCTTCACAGCAGAGAGCAGAAACTTTATGAAACAGATAAACACACTTAAAACAATTTTGTGATGCATAGCTACAGTTTCAATCCCACTGGGACCACCACCAGTGAAACATCTATTTGAAAAACAACAACAACAAAAAAAACTTGTTATATTTATTCGACATTATAAAGCCTATACTGTATGGATTTTTGTTTTCAGGAACATTTAGGTAAATATTGTTTTGTCAGGTTTTTTTTTTTTTTTTTTTAGCTTCTTTTTGAATAGAAAAAACAACGGCACTGCTGATTTCCATGTGTTACACAAGCACGCATCATGACCTCAGTAGTTCTAATCTCCCAATAAGGCCCAAATTAAGCCTGCAATTTTAAAATTTACCATCGTTCCTAAAAGAATACAGAGGCCGGCTCATAAACACAAACAATATGTACATCCAGATGTATGACAGCTTGTAGACACACCTATTATAAACAAAAAGAAAGTATTAGAAAACAAACAATATGAGAAAAAAACACTGTAATGTTCACTGTTATTTCTTCTGTAGGCTAGTTCAAAAATATATATATATAAAAAAATGTATTTGACAATATGCAGCCTTTAAACAGAATCTGTTCAGTGATCACACAAGATTAAAACGGAAAATTTAGGTTTTCATTGCAGATAAATGAAATTTTGATGACTGGGGCTGGACAATGCAGCCAACTTTTTATTGTAATAATAATATAAACAAATAAATGATAATTCTTTAGTTGGAAGTCTGTATAAAAGTATAATTTAATCTGTAGATATAAAAGAATACTCTGAGGGTGTTGTGATTTTATAGCTTATTTTTAACAAATAAAATCACTCATGTGTATGAAGAAACAAAATGACAAAATCTGAGTCCTCTATTGGTCATATCTTAGAGAACTGGTTAACAGAAAAACAGATGAACGATTAATAACATCACACAATAGAGCGTGAAGCCAGCTACAATAGTTTATCTGTCACAGGTGACAAGCTTTGATAACAATATATTACAAAATAAAAGAATTCTTTAAAGGAGTCTGAAAAAATTTACCCTCTTTCCTTGAAATTAAGTTTTTATATTCTTTATATTGCTACATTTAGATTTTGAGTCTTAGATTTAGGCAACAAGAGCACTTTGGTTAATGTTAGGAAAGATTATGACTTTGGTTAAATATACAAGTTGTGTGTCGAAGAACTGCAGACTTGTTCTGTATTAAACCAAAACCATAATATTCTCTATAGTTAAAGATCCAGTGTGTCAGATTTAGGGAGATTGAGTGGCATCGAGCAGTGAGGACTGCAGGTTGTAACCAGCTGAAATTTTTCCTGGTTAGAATTCCTTTAGTGTTTATTGTTTATATCAGTATTTTGTCATGAACTTTCTATATCGAGATATGACATGCAAGGTACCCAGTGTGCGTGTTAACTTCAGCCTGTTACATGCATTATCTGTTTTCAAATTACACTTCCATTTTAACAGGACATGTTCAACAATAAACACGTTACATTTCCCCCTGATGCCGCTGGGTGCCATTAAACAATAACGGTGACCACCTGCATATCACGCTGGTATGAAAAGATAGCTTTTTTTGTTGGTATCCAACTCCAGAAGTCAACCCCCAAATGACCAAGCACTGGTATTTGACGTATTCTCATAGAACGGTTCGTATGTCCTTAACTGCAGTTACGTAATGAATGTTAAGTTACTGTGGTTAGGTTAAGGAAAAGAAACATGGTGAGGACGTACCTCAAAATGTCTCAAAGTTCACCACAACTTTGGAGTGAGATCGGGTTGATCCTACACAATGGACCTTTAACTGACCAATAGGAAATCATCTTCCTGGCTTTGTCCTTGTTTTTGATGTCATGACTGGCACTAAAGCAATACACTCAAAAAATTATATAAAGGAAAACTGAAATAAAATGTGCAGGAATTCAGACATGATTACAACTTAACTGCAAAAGCTCAGTTTGGATTTTTGTTTCCAGCTGTAGGTCTGGTGACCCGCTCCACCACATCATGAAATGAGCAGCTCAATCCTGCTGAGTCAGAACGACCTTTATCACATGAAGACAGATGATTCACATCCAGCACTTGACAGAAAGGGCTGATGTCCAGCTTGTTGGAGAGATTTCTCACATCTCGATTGGATTCATGAATCTGAGGTTTCCCATCAAGTGGCCACTCTTCAAGCATTCATTTTTCTTGACAGCATCATAACCTTTAGAATATATTTCCATCATTTATGAATGTTTGTATGAACAACAGAGCCTGGTGTAACATGAACACTGAGAGTTGAACTTACTGTGATGTTCAGGCAGTCTAGAAAGATGGAGGAAATCCCTTACTGCTCGTCCTCACACACACAATTCTGAAATGACATTCAAAGAGCAGGACATATGCTCTGCATAAAGACACTAACTTATACACAAACACATTTGGGGACTCCGGCTTTTCTATGGAGGATCTTTTTAACCAAAATCAAAATTAAAGAAGAAAATGCCAGTGGGATATTTGGCTCATACTTAAACTTTAAAAAAGAAAGAGGAAGTTTAGACAGGAAACGGAAAATTTCATTTTAATTTGTGAGATGGTAATTTGTAAAACTGAAATTTAGAATCCTGAAATGGAAAATTAGAAGAAAAAAAAAAGCTTTAAGAAATGGTTCAACATTTTGGGGAGACAATTATCTTTCAAGAGTTAGAGAGAAGAGAGAAGCTGGGTGAAGTGGAGGCTGCAGAGGAAACACCGGGATGGGTTAATGTCCGGAGCCTGAGCAGCGGGCAGCCTGGCGGGCTTGCGGGCTGCTCAAGCTCCGGACATTAACTAACCCATCCCGGTGCTTCCTCCGCAGCCTCCACTTCACCCAGCTTCTCTCAGCTGCCCAATAAACCCGCTGCTTCTTCCCACTTTAACCTGAAGCGATGTTTTAGCCTAGCGGGCAGCCCGCGAGCCAGCTGCCCGCTAGGCTAAAACATCGCTCTCACTCACGTAGAAGAGGAGGAACGTTAGCGTTAGCTGAGTCCGGTGTTAGCACTAGCCGAGTTGGCTGCCACCTGCTACTGGAATAACTTACCGCCATGGAGCGCTTCTATCAGCTCTTCTAGTCACTGAGCCTCGCCTCCATCTCAGCAAATATATTACAAAAATGTAGCCTAGCATTTTACAATGCTAATTGAAAATGTTAGCTGGGCTGCCAAGCTAACTTACTCACCTAACACAACCATAACGCCTGACCCATTGCTGGGACCGAGCCGCTAATAACTCAAGCTCCGGACATTAACCCGTCCCGGTGTTTCCTCCACAGCCTCCACTTTACCCAGCTTCACTCAGCTGCCCGATAAACCCACTGCTTCTTCCCACTTTAACCTGAATAACAAACCAGGGCTCGGTGCTCCGGTTGGATCCAAACAGAGAGCCGGGGCTAGTTGGGAAGCTAGCGGAGGCTAACCGGCTGTGCTTCCCTCCAGTCATGCTGCGGCTAACGCCTCGCCAGCCGCTCCCAGCTAGCTCCGGATTGTTATTGAGGTTAAAGTGGGAGAGGCAGCAGATCTGTGGGACAGCTGAGTGAAGTGGAACCTGAGGAGGAAGCACCGGTTAGCCCCGGTTTCGTTCTGCTCTCTGCCATTTCATTTCGAAAATACGCGATGCCATTGCTCACTGGCTGTAGCCTTTTATAGGGAGGGAGGGCCAAGGGCTCCGAGGGGGGGTGGGGATTCACATGAACGTACATGAACGCGCAGCCGGACCGGCTTGTAAACAAGGGGCTGGAGATCAACACAGAGAGAGGGTGTGTGAGGTCATGCTATACTCCAGATGAAATTACACCTCTAGTTCTTCACATAGCAATTTTTTAATTCCTTCTATCTAGAAATGATGAATTTTGCTTATTGCTCCTTTAAAGTTACTTTAAAGCCACAGTGTGTAGGAATTTCTCCCATCTAAAGTTGAAATCATATATTGCATTCAAACAGATGGCGCACTCTAGCACCTCACTGTTTCAAACACGTATTGCAACAACTGTAGCCGCTGTGTACCAAAAAGCTATGTTAACACTGATGAAACCATATCATCAGATACTACATGGAGTATTCATTCAGGCTCCTAAACAGACACGTGACGCGAGTTGACAAACCCCCTCCTCACCATGCTGGCTGTGTTTACAACGTAGGACTGTTGGGACGGGTGTAAATCGAAACAAACCAATCACGTCTTGTCTTTTGACAACTGACAAGTGTCTCAACCTCACACACCTCATCCCTCTCCTCGCATCACTGCGCTGCTAACAGCTGTTAGCTGCTGTTAGCCGTGATTGCATTACCTTTCTCCTTCAGCAGCTCTTTCCAGCTGGGAAAGGCTACCCCGATGTTGACCCTCGTTTTTTTTAATTCGCCGGTCATGTTGCCTTTTCTATTCCCTTTTGCGCTTTCTTGGCAACGAGGTTTCCGTCTCCATTGATGCTGCATATGCATGATGAATGAAAGCATAAAACAAAAGAAAAAACTCTAATGAAAAGCCATTTATACAAATGAGCTTTTAAAAGAGGAAGGCAGGTGTATGTTTGAACTTTGGACAGAGCCAGGCTCGTTGTTTCCACCTGCTTCTGGTGTTTATGCTAAGCTACATTTATCGCCTCCTTACGCTAGCTTTATATTTACCGTACCGACATGAGATTAATATTGATACTCTCAGAAATTCTGCGCAACAAGTCCCAAATGTCAAACAATGTCTTTGATGAAAAGCCTGCTGTGCTCTTCACACAGATATAGAAGTGATCTTACTTTGCCACTGAAGCTTCCAGGTTATAGTTGAAATCAATCAGCTGTTGGGACTGATTCTGTTTCATCAGCAGATAGACGGCTGTAGGAAACTCTGCTCTGCTGATCTGTTCGTCATCACTGAAACAGTAAAAATGGAGTCATAAAGTCAGGAAATTGACTCAGTAAAGGCTCCTATAAAGCAATATCCATTTTAAGTTTGTAAAATTAGCGACCATAAGCTTCTAGGTCATTTTAGACCAAGCAAGGCTGCAATTGCAAAACTTCTGAGTGTGTTGAACTGAGTCTGAGTGTGTTTTATTGCTTAAGAATTAAACTTTTTTTCCTTTAAAAATTAAGAATACACCACATACAGAAAGCTGCAGGTGTGTTCCCTCTATTTGCAGTATTTTTTCTAAATGCTGCATGTGTTAAATTGGTGAGGATGTTTTCTTAATTTGTGTTGTGTCTATTTGCATATGTGAATGTTTTTAATTTGCAGTGTGTTGAGCTCTCAGGGCTACCGTATGATACACAGTGGCACAATACTGATAGAATAAGGCTCCTGCCTTTGAATAAATAACCTCTTTTCTTTAAATTACCAGCAGGTGGCTTTGATGCCCATTAAGACTACATGCACATTAGGCCACCTAATACTCACAGGAAAAATAAATACAAAGGGAAAGATGTTTATTTAGATTATTGGTAAGTGATGATTTTACTGTAAATTTTTGATTTGCAACTTATTGATATTTGATACATGCAGTCTCTCCCACTCTGCACTGGAACTGTTGCACGACAATTGCTGCTGGGATAACAAAGTTTGATCTGTATCTATATCTGTAACTGATAACATTCTTAAAACGTAGCCTTTGTGCCTGTGTGAAGTGTAAACAATGACTCTGGTCTCACTCTGCAGGCAGGTGTTGGCGGCTGAAACGTGTCACGTTGAGCCGCTCGGTGTTCCTGGAGCAACTGGAGGCTGCAGACTCTGCTGTCTGCTCCTCCTCATGTTCATCACACAGCCTCATGTTGAATCTCATGCCAAATTACCTGAACGAGAGTCACAACACAAACAACAAATGTGTGTCAGTGACTACGTTTACATGCACAAAATGTTCCTGTTTTTGGCCTTATCCCAAAAAAGACAATATTCCTGCTTGGCTGTTTACATGGCTAATGAAAATGAATATTCCACTAATATTCCTGTTCACATGCGGAGCATACTCTGATTAATGTGCCCTAACATGTTGTTTATCACGTCAAAATATGGAAAAGTGGAACAACTGTGGCTGTGCCAGGATTTTTTCAAAGTTTCCTGCATGTAGTGGACTTAGACCTTCTGCCTCTGTCATTCCATCAATAACCTTGTTGAAAAGGTTGGCTTATTTGCAAATATCAAAAAATCTGTATCCATGTTTATCATAATGTTTAAAAGGGTTAGGGGGTTCATGGGCAATTCTATGCGTTGTCATGGATACGTTGTACACAAACCCAACTCACCAACAGTTTATAAGGCTGGTGTTGAGCAGACCCCAGGAAATGCACCAGTCAGTTTTCGTAGTAGCTAAACAGTGGAATTACACCATCACATGTTGCCTTGCAGCCCAAAAAGACTTTCTCCCAGTGACTTATGGCAAAAGAGATGTCTGTAAAATCATTGGATACATTTTTTAAGCATCACAACCCTGTGAAATGATTTGTTTAACTATCGGGATTTAATCCAGTCAGTCTGATAACAACTGGAAAGTCTAGAAGACATTATCCCCATTCAAGTTAACAGAGTGCTAAACCAGAAATAGCCAGCTTGGCCAGCGGAAGTCTCTAATGCTGCTGCTCTATGGGCCGCACACTGCCGAACAGTAGCGGATCCTGATATGGGCCAAATGGGCGTTTGCCCAGGACGGCACTTTGTCATGACGTATGGGGGGAGGCAGGAGCGGGTTCGGCCCACTTGATATGCTGCTGTGTTGTGCTATGGCCTATTTAAGTGCTGGAATTTAGGAGGGTGTCATCCAGGGCGCCATTTAGGCTAGAACCGCCACTGCTGCTGAAGCAGTGCTGATAATCCCCGGATCATCTGGGTAATTTTATACATGTCAGCTGAACCATTTTGGCTTCATGCGCCACTGATACCCCTTCTCCACAAAATCAGCTTCAACTCTTGAATCTGTTCCATTCTTGGAATCTCGGTGCTATCTAGTGAACCAGCCCGTGTTACCACTAGTTTTGGGTGGAACCATTGTTATCAAGGATGTGTAATCGATGGAGGGCTTTGCACAGTGCACAATGGAAATAAACAGTAGAAGCAAAATCATGGATTACATTGTTGACCTACAAACTTTTGTTCTATTATTACAGTTATTTGTTTTCAACCTGCAGAATATGACACATCTGCTAATGTTGTCATGGTTCCCACTTCAGGTCAACAAAAAACCTGATTTTTTCTTTGGTTCAAGCTGAGAACCAACTTTTCAGGTTCTGAATCAGTTCATATTTGGACAAAATGCTCTGAACTGATCAGAATTTGGTGCAAGAACCAGAATGGAAATAAGTCCATGTTGGAGAAAAAGGGGTATGATTCGCTCTCACAGGGCTGAACTGGACCCCACCTCCAGAATTCCATCCAGGTCTCTTTATACATCCGGGGGGGTAGAGATGCATGTCCAAAACAAAAGCCAAAATTTCTGGTCAGGCGAAGAAACACATCTACTTTCAAACATTATGAAAGACTTGGATATCAGCAGGTTTTTGGATATGTGCACATATCACAATGCCGACCTTTTTAAGAAGGTAGCTGAAGGAATGAAAGAGACGGGCTGTGTTCACACGTTCATCCCAAAATTAAGCTACTTGTAGGAAATTGTGAAAAATCATATTTTGATGCAAAAAAGCAAAATGACCAGCAGCTCCAGCTGTTTTTACATATTGACATATTGTCGTGATAAATGACACCTTAATCAGAGTTTGCACGGCTGCATGTAAATGGGGATATTAGTGGAACATTCATTTTCATTAGACGTGTAAACAACTTAATAGGAATATTGCCTTTTTTGGAATATGGGTTGAAAGGGATTTTTTTTAAAATATATTTCAACCTTAATTTCAGTAAAGACATCATTACCTGTTTCCCTTTGTCTCCAAATATGCAGATGAGTAATAAGTGCAGAGTGAAAAAAGCCTTTTTCTTTGCACGAAAAAGTCGATGATTCAAAGAGCCAAATTGAGAGTAGTTGCATGTCAGCTGATCCTTTTTTAAAAGCAGTTCTTACAACACACACTGTGAATAAATACATTTGTCTGTACTTTGAACTTTGGCCACTAGATTCTAAAAATAAAGTCAGAGGACATTTATTTCCTTCTGGCAGGATGTCGTCATACAAACAGTGAGAGAAAGACGTAAAAGGTTCAGGGAAGTTCCATATTAACTGGACGAACAGATTTCATGCATTTATACCTTTAAATGATGCATTCAGGTAGAAACTGGAAGAGGCAGTTTCCTGTTAAGTGAGCACATTTTGACATAAGGCCAAATCTGAGTCTGCAGGCTGTTATTACTTTTAATGCCTTCAGCTGGTTCAGAATTCAACTGCCAGATTTTTGGTGGGATAATGGGCTTTGGCTAAGTTTGTGCAATTGTAGAATTGAAATCAAGTTTTTATAATTTACTTTTAAGGCTTAACTTGGACTGGCCACAGAATATATATTATAGATCTCTCCACAGAGCCTGATCATAGCCATAGATCCTCTGATGAGGGGGAGCGATCAGACACCCAAACTCTGCACAGCACTTTCTTTAGACACAAAACATATTTTCTGTGTGACATTGCTTTAAATTTGCATTATATACTGTATGTTTCTGTATGCATATGTGCATATGGGTTATGTTTATACAGGGGTATGTGCTTTAATTCTAATTCTGTTTTATTTGTTTCATTATCATATTACATAGTTTTTGATCTGGATGGTCAGAGTTACACTTTGTTTTACTTTGGTCTTTATCTCAAAGAATGCACTTTCTTCTTTTCAAATTGAATTCTAACTTGTTTTATGTTCTATTTGCATTTAGATGCCTTATGTGCCTTATGTTTCTTTTCAATGTTGTCTTAATGCAACCCAACTGCCAGAATAAATTTTGGCATTGTGGATTTCTGCAAAACACAGATGTGTAATGTTTGTACATTGTTATGTAGAAAATACATTGAAACTTTACATTTTAACAGTGCTGTGGCTAACATGATTATGTTTAGGCACAAAACCATGTAGTGAGGTTTAGGAAAAGATCATGTACCCGCTTTTGGTGCCACAATAGTTCCTGCTGGAACACAGCAATAATTTGCAGAAAAAAAACATCTGCTTTTGGTGGCACAGTCCCCATTGGAATACAATTATGTCTTGCTAAATAACACCCACTTTGAAGATCCTTGCCAAAAACAAAGTAATGTCTCACTAAAAACCAAACAAAAAAAGGCTTTGGGTGCCACAATCCCTGGAAAAGCTGTAATGGTTTGCCAAAAAACATTTTGTGGTTAGTTTGTTAGTCTTGAACAGTGGTCTGTAGCTTGGCAGCTGTCTTGCCTAGATGTCATGCCATCCATCATCCACCTCCTCCTCCTGATGACAATCTCAGCTCATGACGCTGGAAATGCAAGGTTGGCTCACTAAAAACACCTGCTTTTGATGGCACAATTCCCCCTGCTCAAAACACAGCAATGCCTCATAAAACAATAAATTAATTTAAAAAAACACTTGTTTTGGTGCCACAATCGCAGCTGGAAATGCAGAGTTGGCTCGCTAAAAAACCCCATGTGCTTTTGTTGGTACAATCCCTGCTGAAAATGCAGCAATGCACGCTTTTGGTGTGACAATTGTTGTTGTAAATGCGTTGTTGGCTCGCTAAAAAACACCTGCAAAAGTGGCAGAATCCCTGCTGGAAACACAGCAATGATTAACCAAAAAACAATGTGTGTTTGTCTGCAGCTTGGCAGCCACCTTGCCTAGGTGTCACATTATACACCATCTCATCCACCTAGGTCACTTTAGAAAAGTTATTATGATACATATGAAACGTGCAAATGTAACCTATCAGTGGTTTGCATACAATGCCAACATTTCATTATGGCCACTGGGCTGCTTAATGCCTTTCTGTGTCTTGTGTAAAGTACTTTGAATGTCCTTGTTGAAAGCTCTGGCCTCTGCTGCCATTTATCCATCTGTCTTTACATCTGATAAGGAGAACAAACTTCCTCATTTTCCACATAGTTTCCACTCCAAAACAGGAGGAGGAAACATTACTTCAGGTGTTGCAATTATGTTCCATCATGAAAGTTTTTCTCACATAACTGGAATTAAGTGCAATTTTTATGCTGTGTTTTTTTTTTAATAAAATGCAAATGCATTGCACTCATTAATTGGTTTTGCGAAAAATAAATAAAGAAATAAAATCTTGTTGAACAATCACAATACAAAGGTGCAGCAGCAGTTAAAAAAATGAAATTAACTAATGAATCTATGCCTGAACTCTGTCACACAGTATGGTTGACATTAAATGGAAATATCGATGATTACTGAACCATTTTCACACAATACTTCTTCACATCTGTCTGTGTTGCACTGATGCACATCTTTTTTAGACCACCATCTCTGTATATTGCATATTTTCCAGAATATACTTTTGTACATTGCCCTAGCGTTTACATTTTAAACTGTTGCATTGTACATCTTTTAAATAGTAAGTTCAAATAGTTCCTTTTTTTTCTTTTTTCCATTTATACTTTAATGTCTAGGCACCAGGACAAGCCTAAATTGATGCTTTTTAGTGATTCAGATTTTGTGAGAAATGTGCAGTGAATCACATTTGAAAAAACAACCGAGATGCAGTAAATCTGAGGCTTTTTGGGCCCTTGAGGGTCTGGGCCCTCTGGTTGGTGATACAGCTTTGGTTCCATCAAAACAACAAGCACTTCCTTCAAAAGCCTCTCAGAGTGAGCTGATCAAATTAAGCACTCACCATATTTAAACATACAGGATTAACACTCACCCTCTGCTGTAGTTTGGATTTCAGTTTTTCCTCCGTCATCACAGTCTGAAATCAAAGAAGTGTCCTCAGTAGTTTGCTCTCTTCAGCTTGACTGGATTAAACTGGTTCTTTGCTACTTGACATTTTTCTGACTGTAAGCCAGATTAGATTTGTCTTGATGCCACTCCTACAAGCTATCTGATGGGAGAGCAGCCAAGTCTCCTCCTCCGGTTAAACAAAACTCTTATCACTGGGTCAAAACAGACTTTGAAAGTGAAGCTGTTATTTTCCAGTCACCACTTAATCCTCACACCGTCACGACAAAGGGAGGGTACGAAAATGTGTCACATGCTTTGTTTAAACCATTTTTGAGTCATGAACATTGAAGTGTTTGTACACCAGAAAGTCTTATAGAGAGAAAAAGTCAGATCAAACACTCCATATATCACTTGTAGCACTGTATTTGAGGAAGGCCTTAAACTTCATTGACACAAAATATTCATTTTGTGATGTCTTTTTATCCATTCAACATGTTTTTGTGCACCAGTCATATTTTGCTGTTTTGGTATGTAGACTTGTTTTGTACAAATTTGCTATTAAATATTAAGCCTTTATCCAAGGAAGTTAAAGTTTACCAGCTGTGGCATTTGATTACAGCAGAAGACATTAAACCGTTTTGTCTACATATAAACATATTCACTGAGATTTTCTATTTTCCCAGATACTAACACTGCAGTGTTTGCTTTCTGTGATCCAGCAGCTGGTAAAGGCCTAAGATGACCAGCAGCTCGAGGACAGGAAGATGCACATGAAGATCCTGGAAGAGATGGAGGGAAAGGGGAGCAGATATTTGAGAGGAAGAGAAGAACAGATGCAGGAATAAAACAAGAATTAATGCCTCTTGCTTGTATGCCTCCATGAACCAGTCAAGTTTCTCTTACAGTTTACATACATGTCTGTGAAAACATGGATGCTTCGCACACAGAAGATCTATACAATCAGCAGAGTTTCAAGGTGGACACCCAAGATTAGTGTCACCAATTCAGTATCAGACTAAATGTCTCTCCTTCTGCTTCTGAGAAGGAGAGAGAAAAGTGTTTCTAAAGAGCATTATTATGTCACAGTCAAGCTGACCTTTGACCTTTTGGATATAAAATGTCATCACATTAATATTATATCCTATTAGATATTAGTGTGAAATTTTGTCATAATTGGCAAATGAATTGTGGCAAAAAACATGTATTGTGACCTTCAGCCACCAAATTTTAATCAGTTCATACTTGAGATCAAGTGGACCTAAATATCAAATTTGCGGAAAGTCTCTCAAGGCCTTCTAGAGATAATGGGCCCTATTTAGATGGTCTAAAGAGGACGGCGGAGGGCGCATAATCCATGTCGCAAGTGTCATTGCTATTTAGATGCAGACGCAGTTGTCATTTTCACGCCCTGCGCCCCCGTCATCTAACTAGCAAATGAACTTGCGCTTCTCTGGGTGTGTTGGTCTAAAAATGAGTAGTGGTCAGGCGCAGTCATGGCGCGTTGCTAGTTAGATGACGTAAAAAGCAAATGTGCCAGTGACCAACAAAAACCTGGTCTAAAGTCAACGCCGCAGTATTTCGCTGTTAAACAAGTTAGTAATATGCGTCTCTAGGCGGGTGCACAAAGCGCGTGCACTCTGCTCAGACACACACGGAGCAGCCACACATATGCAAAAGATAACAAATAAAAATATGATTACAATGTGAAAGGTTCTTATTGTGCACATTAAAATATTTATCAGAAACACGTCTTAATGGTCAGTCATTAATCAGAATGATCTAATCGCAGTAATAATGATCATCATAATTTGTAATAATGACAAATGAAATTGTGAAATTATCTGACCAATCAATCATTTTTTTGATTGAAAACCAAAGCCCACACATTGCATTTATTTTAACATGTTATACTAGGCTACATTATATAGGCTACTAGGCAATAATTATCTGAGTGTAGAGAGGACACACATGCAAATAAGAGGCAGAACACAGCTCTAGGAAACATGTGAAAACAATTAACAAACGTGGGTGGGGGAGAAAACACTGAACAGATCCTAGCTGCAGGATCAGCACCTTGGGGAGCTCTGCGGCAGTCCTGACCACTGTGCTCTGCTATATGATGAAAACAGGTTTGAATAATATTCCACGGATATTTAGTAAGATCTTTCTTGTATTAGTGATCCCACACCTGCTTTACCTAGGGGAGCTTGGGTGCCTGTCTGCTGTCCCCGTAGATCTGGTTCTGACGGGCCTTCACCTCCAACACAAGGAGATCAGTCTCCTCAGCTGTAAAACGCTCACTCTTTGCAGTTGGTAGGTCCGCCATCTAACTAGCTGTCCACCATGCGCTCCAATCGCGCCTCTTTTAAAGGGAATGAGAGGTGACACTCTGATTGGCTTATTGAATGATACGCCCAAAACACACCCATGACTAATTTACAGAGTAAGTCCAACCCTTTTAGACTCTCCGCCATGCCGCACAGTCTAAAAACGCGCTGTCTAACTAGCAAGTGACTGGGACATGCCCATGCGCCGCACCCTGGCGCTTTGCATTTTAGACCATCTAAATAGGGCCCATTGTGTTGACGAGAATGCAATGGTGAGGGTCACAGTGACCTTGACCACAAAAATCTAATCAGTTCATACTTGACTCAGAGTGAGCATTTGTACCAAATTTGAAGAAGTTTCCTCAACCTGTTACAAAAAAATAGCGTTCACAAGAATGAGACAGACCAGGTCATGGTGACCTTGACCTATGACCACCAAAGTCTTATCAGTTCATTGTTAAGTCTAAGTGGGCTTTGTGCCAAATTTAAAGAAATTTCCTCAAGTCATTCTCAAGATATCTTGTTCACGAGAATGTGATGGATGGACGACCCTGAAACATAGTACCTCCAGCTATGGCTATCGCTGGTGCAGAGGCATAAAAAAAAAAAATGGAAAGGAAATATATTTTCCACACAAACACGAGTTAAAGTTAAGAATGAGATTAAAAGTGATGAAACACTTACATCTCTGCATTTATTTTCTGAATTTGGTGATAAAAGTTTCATATTCTGAAGCCAAGACTTTATTCAATAATCAAACAAAAAAACCCAAAATTAACATAAATCCACCCTTATCTTTAAATGAGCTGTTGCAACATTCAACTAATTTTGATTATTAGTCTCCTCATTGCTCCACACTGATCTACCGTTTTTATCTACCTTTATTTTTCATCTCATCAGCGCATACAAATGACAAATTGAGAAAACAATCAGCATTGTGACAGGGATAACATCTGATCAGTCACTGAGTTAAATGTTGGAAATGATGGAAACACAGCTACTGGCTGACACATGCTTGAAGTATTAAGTATAAGTGCTACAGACGTGAGTACTAGGCATACTAAAATTCACTTCAGGTCTGCCAGTTTTTTCCAGTCCATATTATCTTTCTACATATCAAAGCTTTGTGAAAAACAAACAAAAATAATTCAATTCAGTTATGTTGGAAACTTATAAAAAGTATTAAAATGGCTATGATAAGTTGCTAATTATTATTATAAATAATAATTATATTATGTAATTTACATTAAATTACCTCTCGGGGGACCACCTCGCAAAAAAGGAAAATGATAGCCAATTTAATAATAACACTATTTATATGGCACTTATCCAAACAAGGTTACACAGTGCTTCACAAAGTGCATGAAAAAAAAAATACAGCAAGAAGAAATAATAGTAATAATAATATAGTTACAATAATTAAAAACAATGTTAAGACACCACTAAGAAAAATAGTGTGCAGAGGTAAAAACAGAACAATAGAAAATAAAACACAAAAGTTACAAATCACAGAAGTACAAATCAGGCATTAAAGGAAAAGCTTTCCTTAAAAAATAAGCAATGATTTAAAAGCAGGTAAAATGCTGGCAAGCTTGATCTCTTCTGGCAGAGAATTCCTGAGCCTTAGGGCCTTGATGGAAAAACCATGTCACCTTAAATATATTAACTCAGTCTCATAAAATACACTGAACTATCATTTTGGAACTCTGACTGGTATTAAGGATAACTATAACCAAAATGACCATGTCAATAGTAAGACTGAGGTATTTTTCTTGACGTACAGTAGCAGAGATTGGCAGCATTCACTCCTGTGCAACATTTAACACACAGCATATGATTCAAAAGAAATGATTCACAATATCATAAAGCAAAAATAAAAACACAAAGAGTGGATGTTTGTGTGGCTTTGGCAAAGTCAACTTCCCCAATAACCTGACTCCAAAACAACCACAACAATAAAACTCAGTGGACAAATTTAAATCAAATCAATGTGACATACATTGATAGAAATTACAGTCTTGCTTAACCTGAACTGTTACTGTGCTCCTGTTCACTTGTCATGAAATAAACTCTTTGTTTTTATTTTTCATTTATCCACACTGATCCACTCCACCAGTGCACCACCAGGAAAAAACATCCCCCGAAGGTTGTTATGTGCTGTCATGTCACTACAAACTACTTCATGGAAGGATGCCAGTGATCAACACATCTGGGTCATACTGTGTACCATCATGTTTGGTGTGTTTCCAAGCTCTGGAAGCAAGGAGGTGAATAAAAGCAGAGGAGTGACTGCAGCAGTGACCCTACTAGTACACCAATTCCCATGCAAAAGTTGTGATATATATAAAAACAGACTTGATGGAAGAAACTTTGACCCATGCTTACGAACATTTGTAGATGGGAAATTGGCAGCACAGATGGTGAGGTGGAACCTGATTGTAGAAACTGTCAAATATTTTCCGGTGCACGCATTTTTGACTTTTGTCCGTATGTACATATTTAATATGGATCCTACGCATTGTGTTATAATGAGGCCCTCAGGTGATTTTATGGGTCACATGCAACAGTGACCAATGGTGACTGGCCTGGGTGTGAAAACCTTGTGAGAAGTGTGGGGAATGGTGGATGTTGTTTCTATCTATGGAGGTCAAGTTTGGAAAGGTGTGGATCCAAGATACTCAAGTCTTCAATCAGGGAAGAACTGACTTGTGGGCCTTTATTTCGCACCATTAATTAATCACAACTCATGCCAAGTCAGCTCTGGTTCCAGTGTACTCCATTTTTCTTGATTTCTCATGCACCCAGAAAATGTTGATCCAGCAGCTGGTTTAGAACAGTTTCAGACACTGTATCAACAAACTGTAGAAACTTATGACAACCTGCTCTGTGGTGAGTCACTCTGACGTACATTTTCTTCACGTAGAGCACAATCTCGAGTACAAGCAGGAAGACCTCATTTTAAGAACACAGACTTCAGTTTCTCGTCCCTATTTCTTCTCCCTTTCTCCCCTCTTCACGTAACTGAATCACTTTCAGAGTAAATGTTCACTTACAGCAGGCTTTAACTGGAAACATTCTCATTTAAAGATGCCAATGAGTGATGTATAACCATAGGAGAAATTCATCATCACACTTCACGGTTCTTGCTTTTGCTTCAACTTAATTTCAGCACTCTGGAAAGGTATGGATCCACCTCACGCACAGCAGCAATCAGAAGTGAGCTGGCTTCATTTCCCTTTTTTCGCACCATGTCAATCAAGTCTCGTGCTTTCTCTGCTCCGGTTTTTGTTCTGACTGACTGCATTTCATCATCAGTTATAACGTGACACTCAAGAAGTTTATCCAGAAGCTGGTTCAGAGTAGGATCAGATACTCTGTATACAAACTCTGTCCGAACTGAAGGCCGATTCTCTGCTGGGATGCTGTCCTCTGCTGGGACGTTGCGTTCTGCTGGGACGTTGTCCTCTGCTAGGACACTGTCCTCTGCTAGGACATTCCTCTGTGTAACTGCCTCTCTTGGACCTGGAAGATAACCAGGGAAAAAGCCTTTGTTTAATGTGTGTGTTCATATAGTAGAAATACTTTAGTGTTTGATATGTTTAGAGGTCTGCAGCCAAGTATATTGAGGTAACATACCATTTACATCTCCTGGCTCTAATGCTGAGCAGATAATGTACAGTACACTTTGGCAGGTAATGTATAGTGTGGGGCTGGCATTATTTATGTATTGATTAATCTGATAATTATTTAATGACTAATTTATAGATTATTCTAAACATTATTTTTTATTACTCAATTAATATCACAATTAATTTACCCTAAAATAAATATCAACTTGTCTCATAAATATTAACATATTTTATTAAATCATCTTCACTTAAAAGCAACGACAACAGCAGCATATCTTAAAATTTGTCTTATTTTCACTCACTGCTGTGTTATGATAATATTTTACTATATAATGAGGATGTGTCTGTCATGAAACTTTGCACAGAGATGAGCTTCTATAAGGCAATGAATATTGCGGAGGGCGTGGCTCATCACATAAAGGTGTATAACATCTCAAGGGTTTCACCGATCACCACGCAACTTTGTAGGCATATGACCACACATAATCTGAGGGGACCCCTCCATTATTGACCCAATCAAACAAAATGGGGGAACTAGAGAGCTACGTGATTGCTTATCTAGGCCTAACGGCCATATTGATTTTTACTAAACTTGGTAGATATGTAGAACAGGACGCCTCAAGGTGACTGGAGAAATTTAACTCTAATTGGCAACTGGGTGGCGCTATAACAACAGAAAAATGCTTAAAAATGGCTAAAATGCTGTGGCTCCCCCTGTAGCCCAATGTTTTGTTTTTTTCTAATTTTTGGTATGACTAAGTCATGGTATGGTATGCTGTACATAATCACGGACACAGTGTGTCATTAAGTCAGTCAGTCATTCTGTCTGTCCCACGTTTTTCAAAAACTCTGTCTGAATACATTGCTCTTCTTAATGGGTTCAGTTGACTATTTAATCTGCAATTTCCTATGACCTGTATCCCAAACACACACCATGTGAAACTGTACGTGGGCAACTGTGCACTCATTGGGTATGGACTAGTTAATAATAATGACAGGCCCTATGTGTAAGATACCTGATCAGGAAGTAATGCACCTCAAATTCAAAAGCATTGCTGTGACACATACATACATAATTTAATCACTGTATATCACAGCAATCCCCTGATTTTTTCCCCCTGAACTGGAGAATCAGTAGCTTTAATGAAGAACTTGACTTTAAACATAAAATGGTTGTAATATGGATTTAATAAATCACTAGAGACATGCAGTTAAAAAAATTATTGGCAGGTGGGGTCATGTGATGGCAGTGAGGTGAATGCACCATTTTGGTTAGAAATCTGTGCCACTCGACTCTAATTATCCTGTTATTCTGACAACAACTGCATATTGGGAGCCACTTTTGGTATGAACAGTAAATGCTATGTTCCTAGAAAACTTTTGGCCAGTCTTTTGGTAAAATGGGAAGAAATTTGAGGAAGACAGACAATAAAGACGCCATGTTGGAGCTAGGCGAATGCACACAAGATGGCGACAATGCCGAATTTGATATCGCAGACAAACTAGATCCAGCTCTCGCCAAAACCCTCAGTGGGATGACTGCTAATATCATAAAGGAAACTGACGAAATCCCCTGGCAAAGACTATCCACAAGCATTCCACAGAGCTCCAGACCACTAGCAAGCAGCTAGATGAAGCTGAGGCTAGAATCCTAACGGCTGAAGACTCTGCCACAGCACAGGAGCCAAGGATTACTGAACTGGAGAAGCAGGTTAGTGCTTTATCAGAGCGCCTGGATGTGGCAGAAAACTACAGCCGGTGCTTGAACGTTCGGGTTGTTGGCTTGGCAGAAGGCACTGAGACAGGGCAGCCGGTGGATTTTTATAAGCGTGGCTGCGTCGCGTCTTAAAGATAACTACCAAAGCCGATCGCATAAAACTTCAAAGAGCACACCACTTGCTAGCATCAAAACCAGACCTGAACAAAAGTCCCAGGCCGCTGTGATTACATGCATTCAAAGATAAGCAGGGCGCTGTGCCAGTTAAGATTGTGCCTTGATGTACAACGGATCCAGGTTCTCATTCTACAGTGATCTCTCAGTGAAGAAATAGGGTTGGGCGATATGTTAAAAATTTCCAACCGGCCACTGTCAGCCCATCAACCGGCAGTTGCCGATATATTCGGCAGTTGTGTGTGTGGCGGAGGAAAAAAAAAAAAAAAAAAAAAGAGGAGGGATGTTGCATTCATGTGATGTCGGAAAAAATCGAAAAATGACTTTCAGAATGGGATAATTCGCATGAACGCCACCTCATGTCAGAAAAACACCTCGGCAACTCGGATCTTCCGACACCACATGAATGCAGCAAAAAAAATGCAGCGTGCTTTGCGAGCCCACTCATGTCCAACATGGCACAGAAATATCTGTGCATACCGGCAACAAGCACGCCGTCAGAGAGGGTGCTGGTAACATTGTTGACCATATGTGCACTTTGCTTAAGCCAGATAAGGTTAACATGCTCGTTTTTCTCTCCAAAAACATGTAAAACATTGTGTTTTTGAGTTAAAGACAGCGCAAAGGGACTTTATTATTTTATGTGATTTTTGCACTTTATTTTTCCATTGTTCTTCGTTTAGCCTATATTTATTATTATTTTTATTTATTTATTTATTTATTCAAGCAATAAGCCTACGAGAGGCTTTTAGAACAGCTATAACAGCTTAAGTTTTTTTTGCCACGCCTGCGTTGGCATTATTATAAAGACAGTGCAAAGGGAGTGGACATTATTGTTTTATGTGATTGTGTGATTTTTGCACTTTATTTTTCCAATGTCCTTCGTTTATATTTACTTATTTGTTATTATAGGCTACTGTTACTGTGTAACGTTTGTGGACCGACCAACTGTTTATTCTGTTTGAATAGATTTACCTGCGCCTTATCCTCTGACTGTGGTCTTTAATGTCAAAATTAATGAATTGAAATTTTACTGAAACATACAGCCTATAGGCTATACTCTTATTCATTTAACAAAAAATAAATCACCTTGAGATCTTTGCTGAGTAATAAGCTGTAAAGACGGGCCGAAGACGACTGTCCGACACCATTTTAAAAAGAGTCTGATGGCTGCAGAAGGACGCATTCGCTCACAGCCTCTAAATGAGCAAACAGGTGGAAGATAGGGATAACATACCTGTCCTACTATAACGATTGGGGTGCACAACTGCACATCTTTTTTGATGTAGTTCTCAAATATGGTTTATGAATTAACGTTACTTTCAGCTCCGCCATCACTGACGTATTTTGTGAAAGACTCGTCAGAAATCAGTGTGAAGCTGCCAGTTCCAATACGCGCACACTTTGAATTGTGCTCTACATAGTAATAGGGTTGGGAATCTCTCTGTGATAGACGATTCGATACGTATCTAGATACACGGGTTACGATACGATTCAAGAATGATATATTTTTAATACAGAACAATTCGATACAATTCAATACAGTGTAGGAACGATACAATTCGATACGATTCAATACAGTGTAGGAATGTTACGATTCGATACGATTCAATACAGTGTAGGAACGATACGATTTGATACGATTCAATACGATTCGATACAGTGTACGATTTGATACCATTCTATGGTTAACATTTGTTGATGTAGACATTAATCATATATTATAAAATAAAGAAGCCAATTCTATAAAAGTGACATTCTTACAGTATTTTCAAATTTGTAAAAGACCACATCCCCAAGCATTGTTGCTGTTTTTTTGTGATTGTTGTGGGCAAAAATCCTTGATTATGCGGCACGTTTTCTTTAAAAATGCGATGGAATATGTGGGATATTTATGCAATTTCATGCGATGAAATTGCGGGAACTTGCAAAAATTGCGAGAACTTGCAAAAATTGTGGGAACTTGCAAAAACTGCGATTTGATGAAAAAGAGGAAAAAAGTGATTCCCCCAACACCCTGTTCTCACTAGGCTACTACCTTAATGTAGTCATTTCTAATTACTTCCTATGATAAGCAAGCATACTACATCACAGAAAGTGCAGGGAATATTTAAGTTCTCATCTTGTTTTATTTCAGACCTTAATAAACACATGGCTCAAACTTACAAAACATTGCTAAGTCAAACAAGTTCTGTAGCTAGAATATGCTACAACTTATGTAAAAATAAATAAATAAAATATATATTATGTCATGAAGGCTATGGAGAGAGATCCGTTTTTGCACACCCGCTGGTTAAGCGCTTTTTGAAAGGAGTCAGGTGACAGAGACCTGTCACACGCTCTTTGGCACCGCAGTGGGATTTACCCTTGGTGTTACGCGCTCTGGGAGAACCTCCCTTCGAGCCTCTGTCACAAATCTCTCTCAAACTACTGTCATTAAAGACAACACTTCTCTTAGCCCTGACTTCGTAAGAGAGTGAGTGATTTATGTGCGCTTTCAGTCTCCCCGTCTTGTCTCGTTATCAGAGATGACGGGAGCGCAGCTACTCTGAGGCCGAATCCCACATTCATGCCTAAAATCATAACCAGCTCTTTTAGATCGAGAGTTATTTCACTGGAAGGTTTCTTCCCTCCTCCCCACAGGCAGAGAAGAAACATCACACCGACTCTGCCTAGTGCGCGCTCTGTCTCATTACGTGATGCACACAGCAAGCCTCAGAGAGAGACAACAGTTGTTTGTACATTACAGAGAGCGTTCACAAGGAAAACCCCTCTTACAACGAAAATGCGAGGATTATGAAATCATGCAAGCCCCACATATTTTGCGCATTTTACGCGGAAATCTGCGATTTATGCAGCGAAAGTGCGGCGTCTTTGAAAAAATGCGGCCCCCGCATGAATATGCGGACTTTGGCTGATTATGCGTTGAATTATGCGATCGCATAATCGCGTTTTTCTGGAGGGACTGTGCAATGTAGGGGCAGAATCTGACATCTCCTGTT